TTCTTTGACCTTTCCTTCTCTAATATAAACATATGGCAATGTGTGTGTGTGTGTGTGTGTGTGTGTGTGTGTGTGTGTGTGTGTATATAAATTTCAAACCAAAACATTCCACTGCTCCCCTGTGGAGAAGATGAGAAAATAAACATGTGACAAATGTGGAAGTAGACGTCGCTGTTAAATTTGGCTTCCTTTTTCTTCATGTGGAAGTTGTTATACAGCCATATCAAACAATATAATGCAGTATATTCAAGGAGATATGATTGCGGAGGGAGTCGTAAGTTGTTTAGAATTTACTGTGTAGTGTGCACTTATGGCAATATTAAAGTTGAGAATGTAATAGTTAGCAGCCCTCACAGGCTGCCATTCTATTAAAAATTTATTTCATTGTTAATGTACCTTCTTTTATAAAAAAAAAAAAAATATTATTATCCTGCTTGTGTTCTGAGTATATAATACAGAATGGACACATGATTATTGCAATACATACTATATAATCATAGACTTTGAGGGAGAGTCTGTCTTTGACCTTTGTAAATAGTGGAAGTGGGATGTGTAATGCACGTCTCGGAAGCAACAGACTTTTCAAAACCTTGTCTTATTCAGCTCCTCCAAGCGAAGTAACTATTGTGGTTTCCATGGAAACAGCTACCAAATCGGAAATACATCTCATGGGGATAACAAGGGTAGTGTCTCAATGAATAGGTTCACAGGTTATTGACATAGGTTGCTTAAAAACAACTCATCCAATGCTTAGTAACTCTGTTCAAGTCCTATTGATGCAAGATCACAAGAAAGATAATGTTACAAAACTCTGACCAGCAAGTATGGAGTGAAACGTATTTGTTTAATCAATCTGGAATGAAGACTTACAGAAGCAGTTAATATCTTTTGGGGATTGTTTAAACAGAAGAATGCACGTTGCTACTTTTTTTTTCTTCCAACTTCAGCATATTCCTCAATTATTTTTCTTTGAAAACTGTCATCTCATTACTCATGATTAAGGTTAAGATTTTGTCACAGATATTTTTAGTAAAAGTAATGGATAGGGCACAGAAAATGAAAAATCACAGAAGCCTGTGAACTGTCCCTGACTTTTACTAAAAATATCCATGACAAAATGGGGAGCCTGGTCAGCTGTGGGCAGGCTGGGAGCTCCAGGGGCCCCCACCACCCTGGGCTCAGAGCTCCAGGGTCCCTCTCTGCTGGCTGCTCCGAGCTGTGGGAGTCCTCCCCGCCTTCTGCAGCGGCTAGGAACTGCGGGAGCTCCCCCAGCCACTCACAGCGGTCGGGAGCTCTTGAGGTCCCCACTGCCGCCTGCCTGCAGGCAGCAGGGGACCCTGCAGCTCCCGGCAGGCACTGGCTGAAGTCACAGAGGTCTTTGAAAGTCACGGATTCTGTGACCTCCATGACTAAATTGCAGCCTTGCTCATGATATGCAGTATATAAATTAACAATATTAACAGGCTGTATTAAGTGAACAATTTTATTCAGCATTCTGGTCTTTAGCAGATGTAGCAACACCATGAATTATTTGTGCCATTAGGCGTTAATGAGACACAACTGATCTATTTTTCCATGGTAAAATATTATTTGCTGTAAAATCCGTACTTGAAGATGTAAAATCTCAGAATGCTTTGTACATGCAAGTGTTTGTCTCTGGTATGAAGTTAATCCTCATCACCACTATAGATTAGAAAAAACATTGTAAGTATGTAAGCTGGATTTGTTATCCTGAATCAGCATTTCAATGATGACCATGTTTAAAATTATTATGCTTTCTGTTCTTATGGAAGACGCATTGGCATGGTATCTGAACACATTTCTGTGGATAGAATTTTAGACAGTAGGTTTCGTTTGTTTGAATGATGTGATGAATCTAGATTTGAACTTCAAGGTGAATGTAAAGAAAGCATATATGTGTCAAGATTTTGCATTAAATTATCCAAAGGTAGAGTCTTTGCCGTTAGAAGTGGAAGAAGCCTAACTTGGTGATGGAGACCCATTTTCTTTTACTCCATAGAAACTTTTTGTGTTTAGCTGAACAGTGTAGTATTCAGGGAAGATATTACGTATTAATCCTTTTCTTTTTCCCTCCTCTGATGAGGTAGGTACCATAGTGTTGTAAATTTTATCTCACTACAGATGCTCCCCAACGTATGCAAGCGTTCCGTTCCAGAACACCTTGCGTAACTCGAATTTTGCGTAAGTCGGAAACATATACCCGACCATTACGCCAAAAAAAAAATTCTAGCTTACAGAACTTTTTCCGTAAGTGCGGATTTGCGTAAGTCGGATTTGCGTAACCTGGGGGGCGTTTGTATAACCTAATTATTCTAGTTCTCTGGCTTCAATTAGAGAAAGTTGGGTTAGTATGGAGATTATTAATTTTGTATTTTGATTGGTAAACTGTAAAAAAAAAAAAAATGCCTAAAATAGGATCATTGTCTTGTTTATGGTCATCCCAAGGGATATGGTTCAAGCCCAGTCTTGAATTTAATAAAACTAGTCTGGACAAAAAGCACTTAACACTGCTATCTAGGAAACATGGTATTGATGGGAAGATGAGCAAAAAAGATCTTTTCCAATTCTAATATCTGTGTGCATGTATTCCTCTGAGCACATCATGCAGCTGACAAGTAAAGCCAAAATTAGCACCCAGGTGAAGATATACCTTCAAGTACATGGGCAGTAATTCTTCTGCTTAATACTTCAATTAAGGGAGCCTTGTTTCTTTGCTTAGAAAGAAAATTTTGTTATTTAGAGTGGTTTAAGGGTTCTTCTCCACAGACCTCTTTATGAAAGCCAGTTGAGTCTGTGACCCTTTTAAACTAAATAAATACATACAGAATTCTTGCAGTATATTTCATGGAGAATTTCAGAAATCACTGTAAGTTGAGCACCAAATATTCTCTCTTCAGTTGCTTTGAAACAACATTCTACATCCATCATGACAGCAGTCATTCTCGGATAAATGCAATGCAAACACTGCCTGTTTCTCTGAGCTCAACCTTCCCAGAGGCCTTCCTCCTCATTGAATCCATCAGGGACTAATGGCATAACTGAGGAATGGTTACAGTGCTTTAGTTATAATATGCTGTGAAGGAAGAAGCTGCAAGATTTGTGCATGTCAAGAAGGAAGAGTCGAAGATGATCTCCAAGTTATAAGCCTGAGTGATAAACATATCTTGCCCCCCTGAATTTAGATGCCATGTACTAATGGCAGCATACACATACTCTTTCTCTTATCCCTGTCACTTTGTGCTTTGCAAGACCAATCTACAGACTCTTCGCTCTTGAATAATATTTACAAAATGGACTTGATATATTATATGTTCTTTTCTGAAAAGACAAACAGATTGTGATATATTTCGGTTGACAAGAGCCACCTAGATGAGCCAGAACTGTGAATAAGTACATTTTAATTTTGCCTAATGAGTTGCAAATATTAATAATTTATTATTTACCATTCAATTAAAACTGTTACAGACACTCAGGGTGGGATTCACAAAGGAGACTTAAGCACGGAAGTCTCACATTCAGGCTCCACCTGACCACCTTAAATTCACTGGTTGGGCATGCACACAGTGATCTAACTCCTGCCACTGCCCAGTGCCTAACTCTCAGCAATTCACAAAATAGGCATTTCTCCCCACACCTGTCTTGCTTTTGGGGCCCGTTCCAGTAGACATGCACAAAGTATGCCTAAACCCACACAAAGCAGGAGGAAGAGGTGGTGTGTCCGTTCGCCCAATGCTTAGAGCACTCAGGATGTGGGAGACCTGGATTGAAATCTCTGTTGGGCTGATTTGGAGCAGGGATTTGAAATGGGGTTTCCCACCTCCTGGGCTTGGTCACTAACCGCTGAGCTATTGGCCATGTTGGGGTGGGTCTCCCTCAATCTCTTTCATTAAAGCTGTCTCACTTTGTTTAAATAATTAAATATTCATTGGGCACCAAGAAAATTAGTGCAACTCTATAGCCCAATTGTTAGGGTACACACCTCGGAGGTGAGAGACTCAAGTCCTCCTGCCTCAATAATTATTTCTACGCAGTGGAAAAGCTTCATCAGGAGAGGTCTGAAACCAGGTGAGGGTTGCAATGCCTAAGTCTCCCTAGTGAATCCCACCCATAATTCTTTACACTAAAATGTAATTTATCCTTTCACCCAAAGAAGTGGTGTGTTCTACTTGCTGTCTAGCTCTTTTTATGTTTCAACCATGAGGAGATTACATGTTGTAGGTTAAGATTTTTAAAGATTTTCTACTCAGTACATTTAACCCTTTGGGATGGGGGGAAGATGTATGACTAAATCCCCTGAACTTCCTTGGAAGTCTGAACCATAACTGTTATGATAACTAACTTACAGTAATAAATGAACAGTATAAATGTTCCCTTATGTTTAAACATTTATTTTCATATTGGTCAGATAATTGTATTTATATATACAATTTATGTAGAATTTTGGATCTAAAAAACAAATACACCACTACCTCGATATAACACAAATTCGGATATAACGCGGTAAAGCAGTGCTCCAGGGGGGCGGAGCTGCGCACTCCGGTGAATCAAAGCAAGTTCAATATAACGTGATTTCACCTATAACGCAGTAAGATTTTTTGGCTCCCGAGGACAGCGTTATATCGAGGCAGAGGTGTAGATACATTTGTTTTCCTAAATATTGATTTTTGTTCTATTGCCAATAGATATGTTTTGATATATAGTGTGGAGGAACATCTCTGGAACATAGACAGTGTACTGAGACCTTAAAGCTGTATTCACTTAGCATCTTGCAGTCCTCCAGCAATACTTCTGATGCATTTGTAGAAGCATCAACATAATTATAAAAAACACACTCCTGTTATCTTAAAAAAAAGTCAGTTTTATGTGGAGCGATGATAGAGCATAGTATATAGTCTTACTAAGAAAATTTTGTATGTAAAAAGCAGTGTATATATCATAATAAAATTGCATGCAAAGAATAAGGAATTTTGTTTCTACAGCACAGTGATATATGGCCACCAGCTGGAAAAGCAAGGAAACAGTCTATAACTAAAAATCCAAAGATTGGAGGCTTACCTTTAATTCCCATTCAGCAGGAGAAAAATACTTCTAAAACCAGAGGAAATGCAGAGGTAAGCTGGTGGTTAACATTGGTGTTACCAATTACAATTACAATGCTATATTTTGTTGTCCTTTTTATATAGTCGAGGAGCAATTATCTCTCTGGAGTTGGATAAATGTGAGATGTAGATGCTTCTAATATTAGTGTCCTTTGTATTGTTCTGCCATTAAAGGAATAGTTAGGACAATGTAATTAAATGCATAATGAGCTAGCCCTGTGGCAAGTTGGTAAAGTAACACTGGGGTTTTTTTAGTAAGAGCCACCCATTTGAATTAAATGGGATTTTTACCATGAATGTTACTAGACATTAATAAGGGTGTTTTTTAAAATAAAGTCCTTGATGATATAGCTTTGTGTGTATATTGTACCATATCTTTTCCGATCTCCAAAGCAGATTTGAACTTTTAGGTAGCTATCCTACAGTATTAGTAGCAACGAGCTCCATTTGCAAATTAAGTTAAGATGGAACTGACTGCTGTACATTTCAATTATAGCATTATTAGGCTTAAAGAATAATAAGTCTGGAGCAATGGCGTTTGCACTTACTCAAGTGCCATGAGACTTCTGGGATGAATGGTGTTTCTCAGTCCTAACATAAGTGACTTATCAGATGAACCATTAGCACCCCAAAAAGGAGCACTGAGGTGCTCCTGCATGCACATTGGAATGGGGAACATTTTGAGTGTGGGAACAGAACAGTTGCTATCATTGACCCTACATAATAGTAATAACAACTATGTTTTTCATCAGTAGGCCTCAAAGTGCTTAACAAAGGGGATAACCATCCTTTTCCCCGTTTTACAGATCAGGAAACTGAAGCATTGCGAGGTGAAGTGACTTGTTCAAGGCAACCCACTGATAGAGCTGAGAATAGACCCCAGGTCTCCAAAGTCAGAGTTTAATGCTTTATCCACTAGACAGTGCTGCTTTCCTGAAGCAGATGCATGTGTGATACAGTTAGTCAGTCTCTTCAAGCAGTTGTAGGGTTACCATATTTCCACAATCAAAAAAGAGGACGCTGGGGGGGGGAGCCCCGCCCTAGCCCTGCCCCACCCCCATCCACTCCCTCCCACTTCCCGCCCCTTGACTGCACCCCTCAGAACCCCAACCCCCCCTGCTTCTTGACCCCTGACTGCCCCCTGCTGAGAACCCCCACCCTAACTGCCCCCCTAGGACCCTACCTGTCCCCTGACTGCCCCGACCCTTATCCACTCACATGGGTGGCAGGGTTGTAGAAATTTTGGTGGTGCCCAGAAACAACCCCCCCCACACCTGCCTAAGGCTCTGGGAGGGGGGTTGGGTGGGGGGAGGAGGTCTGGGGTGCAGGTCCTGGGCTGGGGATTAGGGTGCAGGTGGGGTGCAGGGTGCAGGCTAGGAGAGAGAGTTTGGGTGCTGGGTGCAGGCTCCGGGCTGGGGCAGGGGGTGGGTGTGCAGGAGGGGGTGAGGGGTGCAGGCTCTGGGATGGAGTTTGGGGGTGGGAGGCGGTGCAAAGGGAGGGGGTGCAGGCTTTGGGAGGGAGTTTGAGGGCAGGAGGGAGTGTGGGAAGGGGGGAGGGGGTTTGGGTGGGAGTTTGGGGATAAGAGAGGATGCAGGGGTGAGGGCTGTGGGTCTGACGATGAGGGATTCATGATGCAGGAGGAGGCTCAGGGATGGAGCAGAGGATTAGGGTGTGGGGGGATGAGGGCTCTGGCTGGGGCAGAGGATTAGGGTGTGGGGGGATGAGGGCTGGGGCTGAGGGGTTTGGGGCATTGGAGAGGCTCAGGGCTAGGGTGGAAGGGCAGGGTAAGGGCAGACTGTCTTCCCATTAGTGGATGGGGGACGTTAGGACCCGGGGGCAGCAGACAGCAGTTGCTGCTGGCTCTGGCAGTACAAGCAGGCAAGGGAGAGGCAGGCAGGGAGGGGGGGCCCACGGGAGGGGGACGCGCAGAGGGGGGGTGGCAGGTGGAGGCCGGGGACCCATCCAACACTCCCCCGCTCCCTGACTGCCCCCCCTGGACTCCCCTTACCATTCTGGCTCCACGTGTAGGCAAGACACGCTGCCTGGTGGGTCGGTTTGTGTGTTACACAGGGCTGCAGACAGAGGGAGGGGGGAGCAGGGGAGGGCTCTGGCTGCTGGAGGCCAATGGGAGCGGCTCAATCGGCCCAGCCGCCCAATCAGCAGCCGCACTCTGCATGGAAGGGAGGGAGGGAGGCGAGGGAGAAAAAAACCCCAGACATTTTAACCTTGTTACCAATTCCTCCCGGATGGCTATTTAGAGACGCAAAAGCCAGACATGTCCGGGGAAATAAGGACGGATGCTAACCCTAAGCAGTTGTGATATTGCTTCCTAAATGGCCACTGAGTTCTGTTAACTCTTTTTTTTAATTATTCAGCCTCCTTTCCTCATTCAAAGACCTTTAAATGTACCTTGTTTTACAGTTATTCAATAACCCCTCTTACTCCTACCATTTAAAATATTTTTCCTGTAAAAAAGAGAAACTTATCATGCAATTTGAAGGTACCCCATAATCTTGTTTTCATACTTTCTTTTTGCTTGATGTTACAAGTGCAATGTAATGTTTATTATATTATCTTTAAGCTAGCTTCAGATTGAGCATTTCTTGGAAGTAAAGATTTTACCTATCTTTCTTGAACTGCATAATTTTGAATCTAAACATTACCAGGGCCGCCTTGATTTTGTTGTCCCCTGTTGGCAAGAACTCCATTATGTCATGCCAAACATGTGACAGTCATGTCAGAAAAAGGTTTGCAATTAGTGCTCATAGTGTTGTGAAACTCTGCCATAAAAAAGAATCGAACTTGATTTATAAAAATAGATCTGCACAGGTCCTGTTTGAATACCTTAAGAAAATTAGAACAAAACTAAGCATTGGAAAGTGTAAACTAGCATTTTTTGCATATATTGTTGGAATCCAAATTAGTCTTGTCCTGAAGAAGTATGTAATTGAGATGGTTCAAAAAGAGAAGGAGGAAAAATAACATTTCAGTTTAACCAACAGAGGATTTGATTCCAAACTTATGGAGGTAACCATTTCAGTGGTGGCATGCATTTTCATTCCTTTTGATACAATAGATTGTTAAACCCATGATGATCATGGCCTCAGATCTGTATAAAGAATAACTACAAACTTTCCCACCTCATTGTTTGCCTCCTTTCTAGATCATTTATGAATATGCTCAATAGTACAAATTGTTGAGGCACCCTGCTCTTTACCTCTTCTTTTTTTTTTCCATTCTGAAAATTGACCATTCCTATCCTTTGTTTTCTATCTTTTAACCAGTTAGTGAACCATGAGAGAATTTTGCCTCTTATCCCATGGCTGCTTACTTTGAGCCTTTGGTGTAGGATCTTGTCAAAGGCTTTCTAAAGGTCCAAGTATGCTATATTCACATGCTTGTTGAGACCCTCAAAGAATTCTAACAGATTGGTGAGGCATGATTTCCCTTCACAAAAGCCATGTTGACTCCTCCCCAACATATTGTGTTCATCTATGTGTCTGATAATTCTGTTCTTTACTATAGTTTCAACCAATTTGCCTGATACTGAAGTTAGACTTACAGACCTGTGATTGCCAGGATCACCTCTGGAGCCTTTTAAAAAAAATTGACTTTACATTAGCTATCCTCGTCATCTGGTACAGAGGTTGATTTAAATGATAGGTTAGATAACCCAGTTAGTAGTTCTATAGTTTCGTGTCTAAGTTCCTTCAGAACTTCTTGAGTGAATGCCATCTAGTCCTGGTGACTTATTACTGTTTTAATTTATCTATTTGTTCAAAAACCTCCTCTATTGACACTTCAGTCTGGGACAGTTCCTCAGATTTGTCACCTGAAAAGAATGGCTCGGGGTAAAAATATCCCTCATGTCCTTTGTAGTGAAGACTTATGTAAAGAATTCATCTAGCTTTTCTGCAGCAGCCTGGTCTTCCTTGAGTTCTCCTTTAGTACCTTGATTGTCCAGTGGCCCCACTGATAGTTTGGCAGGCTTCCTGATACTGAAGTTGTCATAACTATAAAGGGAAGGGTGGCAGCTCTCCTGTGTACAGTGCTATGGAATCCCTCCTGGCCAGAGACTCCAAATCCTTTTACCTGTAAAGGGTTAAGAAGCTCGGGTAACCTGGCTGACACCTGACCCGAAGGACCAATAAGGGGACAAGATACTTTCAAATCTTGGGGGGGGGGGAAGGCTTTTGTGTGTGCTCTTTGTTTTAAGGGGTGGTTTGCTCTTGGGACTGAGAGGGACCAGACATCAATCCAGGTTCTCCCCATCTTTCTAAACAAGTCTCTCCTATTTCAAACTTGTAAGTAAAAAGCCAGGCAAGGCGTCTTAGATTTACTTTGTTTTCTCAACTTGTAAATGTACCTTTTACCAGAGTGTTTATCTTTGTTTGCTGTACTTTGAACCTAAGACAGAAGGGGGTCCTCTGAGCTCTTTAAGTTTGATTACCCTGTAAAGTTATTTTCCATACTGATTTTACAGAGATGATTTTTACCTTTTTCTTTAATTAAAAGCCTTCTTTTTTAAGAACCAGATTGATTTCTCCTTGTTTTAAGATCCAAGGGGGTTTGGATCTGTGTTCACCAGGGAATTGGTGAAAGGTTTCTCAAGGCTTCCCAGGGAGGGAATTCTTGAGATGGTGGCAGCGGACCAGAGCTAAGCTGGTAGATAAGCTTAGAAGTTTTCATGCAGGCCCCTACATTTGTACCCTAAAGTTCAAAGTGGGGATACAGCCTTGACAGAAGTACTTGAAAAAAGAAATTAATTTAATAGTAGTATAAAGGTAGCAGAAAGGTGATTTGCTAAGAGACCCATAGACCAATCAAAAAAATAAAAAGGAGGCTATATTAGGGAAATGAATATCAAACAAACTGCAGTACATAATTTTCTGCACTGATTTGTATTTGAAGGAATTTTGCTGTACATGGACAAATAAAATATGTAGCACAAAATATAAATGTTTGAAAAACATTTAGTTAAGTTTAAATTAAAAATGTGAAAGGTAATGGGTAACTAGAAATAACCAATGTTCAACATCTTTAGCAGTATGTGCTGAAAGCACTAACTTATAATAATGTTTTTAAAAGTTTATTACACTTCATCAAATAACTAAAATCAAAATATACCCACTTAGAGTAATTAAGCAACTAATAACCAGATTCATGTTCCAGCACTGTTGCAAAATAGCTATGATATCAGCATCAGAACAGGATCTGGACAGCTGTGTCAGCAATGAGTGCTGTGGGTACGAAAGGGAAAAAATAGGTGAAAATCCTGTCTCCATTTTAGTTGATAGCAAAACTCCCATCAACTTCAGCAGAGCCAGAATTTCACTCTTAATATTTAGTGTACTCGGTATCACATAAATGGTAAAAAATTGTACCACCTTCCTCAAAGGATCTGCTCTCTGTATGTATTTTGAATTGTGTCTACTTATTTGGCTGATTAAAGTAAGGTGGTGTTTTTTGTTTTTGGTTTTTTTTTTTTTTTGTCTTGTTAGCTTTGAAAAGCCAACAAAGGTAAAAGAGAGAATGTAAGATAGATTTGTCCATTCTTGTGCATCATCATCAGAATTATTACTAAATTGAAAGGTATACCTCTGCAATCCCATTGACAGAAATAGTATTGCACAGATGTAACTGAGGACATAATTTAGTCTGACCAATCTTTGTTACTGATGATATGCAGAAGGAAAAAGTTCGACTTCCAGATTATCGTAATTATACCCATATTGTTTTTGCAGAGCTGGCAGTTAGGGGAAAATATCATTTTATTGTAAAACAGTTACATTTTGATATGGAAATCATTGGGAGAACAATATGGTAATTCTGATCACAGGTCATCTTACACTAGTGTTTGACACACATTACTAGTATGGGAAATCGCTTAGCTCTGTATCTTCTGTATAGTCTTATGTCGTGCTTTACTTTGTACAGCTGGTTTCATCAATTTCATGGGTTTTATACAACGTGCAAATTATAAATCATCCATGTGCTGAGCCTATACCAGTGCCACTGAAAAAGTTCTCTGTGTGAGTGGTATGCCCCACTTTAAGTAGAAGGAATATCTATTGATCTGCTAGTTTATTTCAAAAGAGAAGAAGCTTTTCAAAAGTGATTATTGTTTTAGGCCTTTTCCAATTTCATGTAAGAGCAACTTTGGGAGAGAACGTCAGGAAAAAGGGAGCTCACTGTACCCAATTTAGCAAGGAGCTATATTGGGTTTTAAGAAATGTAATCACTATTTTGCTTCTTAGAAGATGCAAAATTGAAACATGGTTTTACTAGGGGTTGTAAATAAAGTGCATTCTTCCAGATTGAATTTCAGGGCAGTAATTTAATACCATGGCTTACTGACATTTAGAAAGCCCTCCAGCCATGTTACTGCATCTTCTGATCAAAATCGAACCCCTTATTTAAAGAGCCCCAGGGAATACACCTAAACCTTATTTTATATGTATTTATGAAGATTTTCTTATTCAGGGTCATCATACTTATTAATTGAATTCTATTTTGTTTGTAGAGGTTTGCAGAATTACTGTTCAGACTTTATATTCTTAATATACATGGAAAATGAGAACGTCCATAGCTATTAGACAGGATAGAACTACTGCAACACTGAGGTTTTGGGGCAGCTTCTGAACTCCCTTGCACACTTGTGTAGTGATTCTTGGCCACTGTCAACACGAAAACACATTACAGCCAATAACCGTGCTATCACTCCTTATTTCTGTGCTGGCCTACAGAGAGCCAAGGGTAGATCCTTAGCTGGTGTAAATTGCCGTAGCACTGTAGAAGTCAGTGGAGATATGACAGCTTACACCAGAAAAAGATCTGGCCCATGTATATAAGCCAGTTTTAGCACGTGCAGGGGTATGAAGTCCCCATGCTTGGTCATTCTAAGGCTGACCTTCCCCCAGGTATCAGAACACCAAAGTTCCACTAGCATCCACAGCTCAGTTGCTCCTGGGTGAATTTCACTCTTAATGAATGAGAACTACACTATCAGTAACCTTAACTCTCAGTTCTTTCTTAGGAAAAAAATCTATTTTAAAATGTCATTGGTTTATTTTGCCCAAATGCAATGACAAAATAATATTCTTTTAAATATTGTGTGAATGTTGATTCCGCTGAAATTTAAGAAGTTGAGTAGAGACTACTTCAGTAGATAAAGAATGCTGGAGATGGGAGCTCACTTCACTTATATGTATTTTGTTCCTTTTCCCTCCCTTTTGCCCAGTTAGGGAACTGGAATACATTTTTCAAGAGCAACTAACCTATTCTTGCTCTCCACTTGACTGCACCAACCAGACAAACAAGTTGTGTACTGTTGACAGTGGCATGTTCAAATCCCCTATGCCAGGGGTTCCCAAATTTTTTGCCTGAAGCCCATCTGTGTAACTGCAATAGGCTCTGTGGTCCATTATTAACACCTCTTGAGGAGAATTATTAATTTTAATTATTACATACATATAAACTGTGACACTGTAATAAACAATGTACATGTTTACTTTTCATTTTAATGTAAACAGTTGTAATGCTAGAAATCCCTAGCAATATGCACTCAACGAAATAATTGAAGATCTTTGAAACCAACCTGTTTTAGTAAAGCTGCGCTTTAAAAAAAAATGTTGAGAGCAAAATGTGTGGTGTTCAAACAGGAAAACACGATTTTCTATAAAACTGAACAATAAGCAACACAACAATGTTATCAATTTTGTTAAAAATGCTTATTTCATTTTAAAACAAAATGGTTGTCCAACTTTGAACATTATATTGTGTTCAGTTTTTTTAGTGTAAAATGTTTCTCTGCTGTGTAAGTAAAGACCCAATCCTATTCTCAACTAATTAGAAAAGGATCAAATTTTGTAATAAAATATAAAATAACTTCCGGACAAGGAGTCTTCTTAATGGGATGGATGTGCCTGCTTCTCCTTGCAGTTTTTCCAGCTGGGGATATATGTTAGTGAGGCTCAATCTGATCTCATCTTCACTTTTCAGCCTTTCAGCCAGCTCAGGGTGCAGGCAGGGGGTAACTAGGGGCTGTGTGCAGGCAGCGGTGTAGTTCAGGGTGCAGATGGGGATAGCTAGGGGCTGTGTGCCAAGAGGGGTCTGTCTAGTCAGGATGCGGGGAGGGGCTGAGTCTGAGGGAGTGCTGCTGCTATGGTGCCTGGCCATGCGCTCAATCCCTGGTTGGCACAGTGGGGGGCAGCTCCACTCCTTGGGGCTGTGTGCACGCTGAGTCGGACCTGGCCATGCCTTCCTACGCCATTACTGTGGCCAGAACTATTAGCTATGCTGCCCCAGCTCTTCAGCAAAATTGATTTTTCTTGTAAGCCGTTATGTAAAGTAATGAGCAAAACTCACAATCTCAATATTATTGAATATTGTGTTAATTTGAACCATTCTGTTTCTGATTTCTTGACTTTATTCAGCATATTAAAGCTGGAAAGCTGACATTCAGTGAACAAGATGAAAATGACATTGCGGAAGAAAAAAAGAATTTAAAAGAAAGAGCACATATCGTGGCACAATGCCTAGGGCGCAAGGAGGAGAAAATGAAAAACCATGTGAAAAAACATCGAAGCTTGATCTGTGTTGAGGACACAGGTGCTGACATTGCTGACTTACACCAAAGTCCCTATAAAGAATCGAGGACACTGAAGAAACATGAGAACAAAACAAACAAATCTAATTTGGAATCTGATAAGTTGCCACCAAATGTTATTCAGGAACTAAATACAGTTCTGCAGAAAAACAGAACCCTCAACGAAGAAACCTAAAGCTGAATTTGTAAGAGACAGATGTCAAAAAACCTGATTATTCCAGGCAATAAATAGCTTGTTTGTTAAAGTGCGTGTACAGTTTGTACAGTGTAGAGACTGTGAAATGTGTTTATATACAGCTGCTGATTTTTAAATGACAATTATGTATGTGCTGGTAATATGATATAATTTAAGATTAAACAGAGACCTTTACATGTATAAAATTCCTGGTATGAAATCCTGGAATTTGAAGCCAGTGGGAGTTTTGCCATTGACTTCAGTGGGGCCAGGATTTCACCCATCATTTTGAATGCAGACTTTGTTAGTGTTCTAACCAGAGTACTTCAATTAAAAAAGACGGTTTAAATGTTAAGTACAGTTTGCTTATGCTCTGTATGTCCAGAACCCTTTTCTAAGTACAGGAGAAATCTTCTTGTAAAAAGAGACCAAAGTGCACATACATACTGTGGTTGTCTAATAATATATAAGAATAAGTAACATATGATCTAATCTGATGACAAATCTTGCAAGATCTTCTCTCTGCTAAACAGGTTGAAATTAATTTAAAGAAAGTGTATCCAGGGGACTGGCTAGCTCATACGATCAGGAATGTGAGGCAGAACTTTCATCTTTAGATCCCTCTTTTGGATGTGACTAGCTTGCTAGTGACAAAGTTGTTATCTGATAGCTATTCAGTAATCACATGCAAAATGAATTTCCTTATGAACAGATGGCCCAATCACAAAACCACCCATCAAACTGTCTCTAATTCATCCTGTCACAGAATCAGGGCCGGCTCCAGCATTTCTGCTGCCCCAAGCAAAAAAAAAAAAAAAAAAAACCGCGATCGCAATCGCGACCGGGGGCGGCAATTGGAGAAGAAAAAAAAAGCTGCGATCGGCTGCGGCAGTTCGGCGGCAGGTCCTTCGCTCCTAGAGGGAGTGAGGGACCTGCCGCCCCCAAATTGCCGCACATGCCGCCCCTCTCCCTTGGCCGCCCCAAGCACCTGCTTCTTAAGCTGGTGCCTGGAGCCGGCCCTGCACAGAATGGCCAGGAATGAAATGAGCATGGAGACAAAATTATCCTTTCACCCTTAGAGGTGGTCCCACCAGATCAAGATGGAGCAAGACATTGATTGAGGCTGCAATTTGTGCTATAGCTCTTCTGAGGATAACGAGAGGCTTCAGGCTCTACCAATCTAGAACCCTTCAGGAGCACTAAATTCATTAATATTGAGGAGGGAAGGGAAGCTGCCATATTTCATCAAGCTTTATAAAGTGTAATATTGGCCTTATTTAATTAACAAGCATATTTTCTGATTTTTCCCTGTTGCCATATTTCTGTGCGAACAGAAGCAGTGTCCTCCGTAATTAGCTTTTTCCTATTTTCTGATATGAATGGATGTCATAACTGTCATTGTGATGTCACAGTTACGTCTCATGGTGGTTAGCACTGAACATATCAGTCTGGAGGAAGTTAATTCTGAAAGAGAAAGCTGCCATCTGAATACAAGTGTCTTGGTAATCTGTATGTTCTGAAAGGAAGGACAGAAAAGCTACGATTTAATGGGTTTCTATAATGTTTTGTTTTTAATAGTTTGCTGGAATGTAGCAGTAGCAAGGGTTCCTCTGTCATTCACTTTGCACTTATTCTGTTTGATCAACTGTAAAATCTAAAAGCAAGTTTGTAATTTTTTTTTCCCCAGTGCACTTTTGATTATGTTGTTAGTCTTAATTTGTAGCATGGGCTTAAGTCCCATTTACTTAAGAGAGTGCTGAATGTGAAATACATTCTTAAATGTTTTCCTGAATCAGGGCCTATCTTTGTGGGAAGGAGGATATTTCAGCAAAGTGCTTATACTGTCTGTCTGAGGCACAGTTGCTGCAAAGGGTACTAAAAATGTAAAGAAAAAAGTTGCTTACTTGAAAAAAATTCAAACTAAATATTGTTTACTTTTCAATTGTGGTTAACCTATCTGAATTTATGGCTACTGAATTATCAGTGAAAATATTTCACCTAAAGTATAAATAATCTTTCAGTGTTTTCTACATGTGTAATACATATTGTTTGAACTGTGGCACTGTTTAACTTAAACACAACTTCTGTAATAAAATGGAAGTGTGATTAAATTCATTTAAAATTCATTACCTGTGAGTCTCTGATTTCGATTCAAATTATTACCTGATGTTCAATCAGTATTGCACTAAGCACTGACACTGGTCTAAGAACTGAAGAATAAATGTGTATCATCTGTAATAGTGTCGTAATGGCTGCTGTGTTTTGTATGTCATGTATTCTGGAATGGGAAGGAAACTAATTTCGAGAGAATAAATATTTTCTTTAAATTGTGTTGTGTAATCTCTTCAGGAAAAAAAAATCATCAAGCCAGTGATAATTGTTGTAGCAATTATTTCTACGCATATCTCCATACCGTTGCTACTAATCCTTGCAGTACCTTTGTATGGTAGTAATTAGTTATCCCCACCTCACAGATGAGGAAAGAAAGGCACAACTAAAATAAGTGGTTTGCACAAATCATAACAGTGTCAGAGCTGGGATTAAAATTTAGGAATTAGTAAATCTCAGGTCCTTTATTATATTAGATTTCTCCAGCCTCCCTAGTTAGAAAAGCCAATAAATATCAATACTGTTTATCCACACAATGTCAGTTCTCTGTGCATTTTCAAGCTCTACTGAGCAGTTTTTAAAATGAGAACATAGGAACATAAGAATGGCCGTACTGGGTCATACCAAAAGTCCATCTAGCCCAGTATCCTGTCTACCGACAGTGGCCAATTTGGCCAGGTGCCCCAGAGGGAGTGAACCCAACAGGCAATGATCAAGTCCATCCATCTCCACCCTCTGACAAACAGAGGCTAGGGACACCCTTCCTTACCCTTTCTGGCTAATATCCATTAACGGACTTAACCTCCATGAATTTATCCAGTTCTCTTTTAAATGCTGTTATAGTCCTAGCCTTCACAGCCTCCTCAGGCAAGGAGTTCCACAAGTTGACTGTGAACTGTGTGAAGAACTACTTCATTTTATTTGTTTTAAACCTGCTGCCCATTAATTTCATTTGGTGGCCCCTAGTTTTTGTATTATGGAAACAAGTAAATCACTTTTCCTTATTTACTTTCTCTACATCACTCATGATTTTATATACCTCTATCATATCCCCCCATAGTCTTTTTATACTTTTAGCTCATCCATTAAAAGAGCCACTGAAGAGTTAGCTAGATGCTGTTCTTTCCTAGGAATAATCACCAAACTTACATTTCCAGGAAGTGAAAATGAAGACTATGTCAGAAGGTATGTTGTAATATGGAGAGCAGCTTTCTCAATATACTTAGTGTTGCATATCTTAATTACTTTATAAATCCCTCTGGAATTATTATGGAAATGCACATTTATATTCATAGATTCTAAGGCCAGGAAGAACCACTGTGATCATCTAGTCTGACCTATATAGCACAGGTCATAGAACTTCCCCAAAATAATTCCTAGAGTATATTTTTTTTTAGAAAAAATCCTACCTTGATTTAAAACTTGTCAGTGATGGAGAATCCACCACAACCGTTGGTAAATTGTCCCAATGGTTAGTTACTCTCACCATTAAAAATTTACACCATTTTCTTCATTGAGATCAGAAAAATGTTCTATGCTATAAGATTTACTTCAGTTCATGGCTGATCTTATAATATGTGCTGTTCCTGGTATTACAGAATACATTCACTTGGTTATATGAACAGTAATCCTTTTTTTTCTTTTAGAACTCAGTTAGTATTGATTTATCTGGTACTGCAGACTACTGTGGAACTACCAATTTAGAATAAATTTGAGGTTTTCCATCTATATATATGAATAGATTTAATAACTAGTCATTTTCTTTCCTATCTTCATTTCCAATATGTACTAATTAAAAGCTAATGATGTTGGTGTTTAAGTAGTTCTTCTTTATATGTGCATATTTAAATTTTGCAATAGCTTAACAATCTTCACTTGGGTGTCCTGCACTGAACTTTTTTTGCTGTTTATTTTCCCTTTGAGGGCTATTTGCATGCTCAGGCTATCCATTTTAATTATTCAAATCCATTATGATATAAAATATCTTGGGCTTGCTCAGTCTGTATTTTTAGTGTGGTGTCTCTCCAGCTTTAAGAAACAATAAATAAATGATTGCATCTGAAACTTTTTTAATTCATGAAAGATTGAGTGTTCTAGATAAAATAAATATACTACTTTGCACTCAATAAAAGCATCTAAGAACCACATCCTACCAAGTATCGGGTTTCACAGTGCTGACTAGTCTCATCTGTTTAATGGTCCCAGTTCAGTAACGTATTTCACCATGTGCATAACTTTAAGCATATTGACAGACCCATTGACCTCCTTAGTAGATAGGGGCCAATGAAAGCTTCAGGTGTTTTGTCCCTCAGAAACTCAGGCTGTTTTCATTTAGATGCTTAAATCTTCTTAGACTGCAATTCTTATAAGGTAGCTAATTGTTGTCCCTCCCTCCAATAGTGATATTGTAATACAGATTTTAACAGGATACTCTGATAAGTAGATATTTAGCAATTCTTCCAGAAATTACAGATGACAATTTCAAGTCCTTTCAGGACTTAAATGCAGAACATATTTTAATGTGAGGGTCTTTTAAATAGCCCTACAAATTGTCTCAACCTGGGCATCTTTTCTTACTAGTGCCTTCCCTATATGGGTGCTGTGGGTACTTATACGCACAGCCACACTTTCACATGTCCCAAAAAATAAAATATAGTAAGGCTGGAATATCTCCTACCTAATAAAAACAAAAGACGAAATATAGAAAAGGGAAAAATGTGATAACTAAATGGTAGGGTGTTTATGAACTCTTCAACTCTTGTAGTCTTCTAGACTCTTGAGCACAGGCTCCAGAACTAGAGAGAAGAAACCAGACAGTTATAGTCTATTGGCACAGCATTTCTTGCTTATGGACCAGCTATGAGTGCTGGGATAGACTGGTTAAGGCTGGC